CACCACTGCAGCACCTTCCTCAGCCACCAACACCACTGCAGCACCTTCCTCAGCCACCAACACCACTGCAGCACCTTCCTCAGCCACCAACACCACTGCAGCACCTTCCTCAGCCACCACCACCACCGCAGCACTTTCTCAGCCACCACCACCACCACTGCAGCACCTTCTCAGCCACCACCACCACCGCTACACCTTCCTCAGCCACCACCCACCACCGCCACACCTTCAGCCACCACCACCACCACCACACCTTGCTCAACTATCACCACCACCAGACTAATTACCTGTTGACACCTGAGTATTGCATGGCGAGTTGCTGGCACTAATACCTGGGCCGGGGGGGCACCCTGGCTAACTTCCGTGTATGTATGTGGTGGGTGTTGTACAGTCGGCTGCACCTTTATCTGGTACAGTAGTTTTATGAGATGTGGCAACTATGTGTGTGTGTGTGAGATGATTATTATTATTATTATTATTATTATTATTATATGTATTTTACACACACACACACACATTAACTGTCACTTAGAAGACTCAAATTTTGCACTGTAAGGTAACGGAACACCCACTTGCGTTACCCCTAGTGTGTGTGTGTGTGTGTGATTTTTGTCCACCAGTTTATATTTTATTGTTTCTGTATTATTTTACTATTTACGGGTTGTATAAGTGATTGAGTAGGGGCGGGTCTGTTGTGTGTGTGAGGTGGGGAGGTAGTCACAGCGCTTACGAGATGTCTTGGTACAGTACACCTTCCGTTCCCTTCTATTCCCTTCTCTTCCCTTTCTATTCCCTCCCCTTCTCTCTTTCTTCCCTTCCTTCCCTTCCTTCCTCCCTTCCGTTCCCCTTCCCCTTCTCTTCTTCCCTTCCCTTCTTTCTCTCCTTCCGTTCCCTTCCTCCCTTCCGTTCCCTTCTCTTCCTCTCTTCCCTTCTCTTCCCTTCCCCTTCCCCTTCCCTTCCCTTCTCTCCCTTCCCCCCTTCCTTCTCTTCCCTTCCCTTCTTCTCTCCCTTCCTTCCCTTCCCTCCCCTTCCGTTCCCTCCTCCCCTTCCTTCCCCCTTCTTCCCCTTCTCTCCCCTCCGTTCCTCCCCTTCCGTTCCCCTCTTCCCCCTTCCCTTCCCCCTTCCCTCCCCTTCCTTCCTTCCCTTCCCTTCCCTTCCCCTTCCCTTCCCTCCCCTTCCCTTCCCCTTCCCCCTTCTCTTCCCTTCCTTCCCCCTTCCCTTCTTCTCCCCTTCCCTTCCTTCTCTTCCCTTCCGTTCCCTTCCCTTCTTCTTCCCTTCCCTTCTTTCTCTTCCCCCCTTCCCTTCCCTTCCCTTCCTCTCTTCCCTTCCCTTCTCTTCTCTCCCCCTTCCTTCCTCCCTTCCCTTCTCTCCTTCCTCCTTCCTTCCTTCCCTTTCCCTTCCCTTCCCCTCCCCTTCCCTTCCTTCTTCCCTTCCTTCCTTCCCTTCTCTTCCCTTCCCCTTCCTTCTTCCTTCCTTTCCCTTCTCTTCCTTCTCTTCTCCTTCCCTTCTCTTCCCCTTCTTCCCTCCTCCGTTCTTCCTTCCTTCCTTTTCTCTCTCCCCTCACCTGAAGAAGAGTTACCTGGGGTGGATTCTTCAGGTGATCCATTATTTACTTCTATAAACAACTAAATCAAACCCAACAAAGACATCAACAAAAACAAGATGAAACTATTAAGTAAGTGATAATCAACTTGTTGCGCCAGAGTGAAGTGATTATGTAGTGTTTTGTACTGTACGCCTGTGACATACTCAGGCGGCCATCTTGTTTATTGAGTAGGCCATGTTGTTTTCTGAAGCGGCCATCTTGTTTACTGAGGTATTATCTTGTTTACTGAGGTCATATGTTGTTTACTGAGGTGGCCATGTTTACTGAGGTGGCCATGTTTGCTGAAGCGGCCATGTTGTTTACTAAGGCGGCTATCTTGTTTCCTGAGACGACCATGTTGTTTACAGAGACAGCCATCTTGTTTTCTAAGGCGGCTATCTTGTTTCCTGAGACGACCATGTTGTTTACTGAGACAGCCATCTTGTTTACTTAAGCGGCCGTGTTGTTTATTGAGGCGGCCATGTTGTTTACTCAGACATAGGGACCGGTGTTAGAGATGTGATGTGGAGTAAAATTTCCTGAAGATTATTGTATGAAATTTAAAGAAATGTTAATATTATCAGGAAAAAAATGTGTTAGGGTAAACTGGGACATGTTGGTGGAGATCTATACGACACAGACACACAATTTTGCTGTTAACGCCAAACTGTTTCTCGTTCACCACCTGCGTTTGCCATACTGTGGTCTAAAAGTTGCCCTCGAGCCGTTACCATGGCAGGGTATTATATCCAAATAACGACGCTCTTTGGCAAATCAATATAGTTTACGTCTCATATCATCGTTTTCTTTAATCAACGATCCAAAAACAAAACAAAATAAGAATCATAGCGTGAATGATTTACCTTGACAACACTTGGTAAATTTGGGTGCTTCAAATCCGTTCTTGAGTTATTTGGGAGACAGACAGACAGTAGTGAGCAAGGTGAAAGCTACCTAATGGTGTGTTATAACAATTGTTCGTTAATTGAAGAAGAAAAAACTAGTAATGATAACATACTAGTAATGGTTGTTTTTTTATAATATTACTACGAGTGATAAATTAGCGTCGTGTTGGGAGGTGCTAGGCTTTGTCACTCTTCCTTCCGCTTACTCCTGGGCTTTCTCTTGTGCCCTTGACGGGATGAGCATGACGTCAGAGATCAGCTGATGTCTGCTATGGAGGACGGGCGGACTCCCTCTTGACTACAAATTAGACGACTTATCACTCTACCAGTCGAAATATTTCACCTGTGTTCGCTTGGGTTTTATAAAGACACAGGGGAACGTCCAAGGCATAACTAACGCCTCTCGATAAATTAACACTCGGACACAATGGAGAGCTGAGTTGAACACAATATGAATTCACCCGTCCACACTTGTATGTTGTCATTAGTTAATTATATAAAAAAATGAAGATATATAATGTAAAAATTAAACCTGAATTATGAAGGTTTTACATCCGTCTTAAACTGGAATTAACGAAATATTCTTAAATAATTCTGGAAGCATTTTTTACGACTAAATTCTGTAGCCTAGTATCACCGTTTCATAGTGTGGGAGACGATGTTAGAATTACTGTCAGTGTGTTTCAACAGGTAAGGTCTATAAGCGTTCAGTCTAGTAAAGTTAGACCATCAACAGATATCAGGAGTTAGAAATTGAGAGACATTGTTTAAATAAACTCACACTAGTTCATTCAGTTCCAGGAAAAACCAACTATATATTTACTAAAACCACATATTAAACCAATTTTAATCTCATGGGGTAAGTAACAATTAACTGCGCGAATCTGATATTGTGTACACTGTCGTAGGCATAGTTTGAATATCAGATTATTAACGCTGGCGTGATTGGATTACCGGGTGTGTATGTGAAAGTTGTGGCGCCATTGTTATTTTGTAAAGAGACATTAGGGTGGTAGGAGTGATGGTATTGGTGGTGGTAGTAGGAGGAGTCGCTGAGTAATTAAGAGAAAGTATTCCTCCCGCATTGACAGTACAAGACGGTGTCGTGTGGGTGATGCGCGCCTAGTGTCTCGCTTCTTCTCAGGGACTCGTTAGTTTCTTTGTTTACAAGCGGGTTATTTCACCTCATGATTAAACTCCCTAACGCTACCGGTAGGGAGGGGGAGGGGGTTATATTAAATTAGGTTAACGTTAGGATGGTTAATCTTAAGGTGAAATAAGCTTTAGGGCTCACCATCAGGTAACTCAAATTTAAAGGTAACTACTTCGTAAATATTATCCGTAAAGACTCGATTCTCTAGGCATACGAAAGTGCTCACAAACAAAACACACACACACACACACCACGCACACACACACAAAACTTGAACGAACTGAGGGAAGTGTGAGAGAAATCAGACTGCATAAATGACCAAGAGTAGCGAGAAGTGCAGTGGGGATTTACTGGATATGTTAGGTGGGGAGATGGGTCACTCTTCCTCGGGTGAAATATGACGTATACCTGTGTGAGTCTGACAGGTGTGTGGGGTGAGAGTCTGGCAGGTGTGTGGGGTGTGAGTCTGGCAGATGTGTGGGGTGTGATTCTGGCAGGTGTGTGGGGTGTGAACCTGGTAGGTATGTGGGGTGTGAGCCTGGCAGGTGTGTGGGGTGTTGGTCTGACAGGTGTGTGGAGTGTTGGTGTGTGGGGTGTGAGCTTGGCAGGTGTGTGGGGTGTCAGTCTGACAGGTGTGTGGGGTGTCAGTCTGGCAGGTGTGTGGGGTGTGTTTGGGGGGAGATGAGGTGTTAGGTAAGGTGCAGGATTTGTATGGCTGCTTTACATGTACTGGCCTAGCTATGGTGGTAGGGAGGTGCGGCGGAGAGAAGGGAAGGCTGTGGTAGTGGTGGTGGTGGGTGTGGTAGTTGTGGTGGTGGGTGTGATACTGGGCGTGTTACATGGTATATAGATGTGGTTGGACGAGAGGTGACATTGTGGGGTTCGTGATATTTGGTTCACACTCAGGATGGGATGGAGAAAGGAAACTCACAATGTGCTCTCTGTATACATATTGTATTGGATGTACAATGCAGCTTGGTTGCTGGTGCTGGGAGGAGGCAGAGTGGTTACAAGCGTGTTTAGGGAGAGCTGGTTGGTGAGGGTACTCAGAGGAGGTGTTGCTTGCTGCGGCTGTAGCTAGAGGAAGGGGGCAGGTCACGGCCAGGTGTGGTCTTATATAGCGGGGGTAGGCGTGGCTTGATGGTAGACCTCCGCTTTGTTCGGGGGCGCTGGTTACCTGACCTTGCCCACGAGGTGCAGGCTGGTGAATTCGCGGGGGTTCGGCTAGTCAGCGACACACGGCGTTTGGAGGGTAGGAATCCACTACAACATTAGTGAGGGCCACATCCAGTCCTCCCGTGTGTGTGTGTGTGTGTGGTTTTAATTTTAATATCTAATGTTTTAATTTATTTATTCTGTTTATATGTTACATTTTACCTTAACCTTGGTGTCGTCAGTATGTAATGTCTCGTGGCTCAGCTGTGATGACGTCATAGATTGTTTACTTCCAACAGCTGACGGCACGATGAGTTTCCTGCAGCCAAGCCTTCCACCTGCCTCCTGAACAACAACAACCACCACCACCACTACCACCTTCCCTCACTCACTCTCCCTCTCTATTTCCTCCGCTTTACTCTCTCTCTCTCTCTCTCTCTTTCTCTCTCTCTACTTACTTTAATCTTCAATCTATCCTTTCTCTGCTTCCCTTCCTCCTTTTTTTATTTGTTTTTTCTTCTCTTTCCATTCATTCTTGTTTCCCTACTTCCTTCCTCTGCCTTCGCTTCTCCCTCTCTTCCTTGATGGAGGAGCTAAATGAAATGACAACACAGTACTTCGCGGGCGTCTCCCTCACCACCCACGACCCCGCCCACCCCACGCCCAACACCACCCCCCCGCCAGGTGAGTGTGTGTGTTATGAGTGTGTGTGTGTGTGTGTGTTATGATAGTGTGTGTGTACTGTATGTGATAGTTGGCGTGTGTGTAAAGCAGTGTCACACACAGTATTGACAGTCATACAAGTAGTTCCTCTGGGTGTACCGGGCTGAGGTTGTTCTGGACATGTGTAGTTCCATTAGGTTAGGTTTGGTTAGATTAATTTTGGTTAGGTTAGATTAGATTAGATTTGGTTAACTTTGATTTGGTTAGATTTGGTTAACTTTGGTTAGGTTAGGTCGGTCAGGTCAGGTCCAGAACTCGCATGGAATATATAAGAATATTGTACTGTTCTCCAAGCTAGTTGATTAATAAAACTCAAAACAAGAACATAAACAAATACATAACTATTTGTTTCACTTTGACTCGATAAACTTAACATCCAATGCTTATGAAAACTCTACGTATTCCATCTTGACTTAGATACGTTCACTTAACGCCAAAGTAAAATATAAAATCTTTTAGTGAATATTTTGTTGTACTGTCTGTTAATATTATCTCTTCGTGTTATGTGAACGTATCTAGTTAAAGTTGAATCTCAGTCGTGAAATTTTTACCATTTGGCATTATTGTGTGGAGATTTTAAGCTAATTCAACGAAGTAATTTCCATTCTTATCAGACATTCTTCCTTGGGTGTGTGTGTGTGTGAATCTGTACTCTGGTGTAATAATTGTAGTGTCATTCTTGTCATCATCTTTGTGTTGGGTCTTCAAGTGTGTTTTAGTCTTCACATAGCGGGTAAAAAACACTCAATAATGCTTGAGAATATTGTGTGAGTTGTTTGGTGTTTACAGGTGGCGGGGATGGCATCACGCCTCCAGTCAACACCAGCAGTGTGGGCGTGAGTTACCTGAGAACGGCGCCGTGGGTGGTGCCTCTCCTCGCCGCAGCCGCAACCAACGCCGCAGCTATCGTGGCCTTCGAGGTGAGTGCGGCGGAGGTGAAGTAGGTGATGTGTGATGACTAAACTGCCACCTTCGCCTACACCCTCCACTAAGGTCCCTGAGAGGACGTCATTGGTTCCCGCCTTGTTTATTCTTGTGGCAGCAGATGTGGGGAGGAGCCTCAACCCTCCCTTCGTGTTGTTAGTTTACTTCCTTCTGCATCACCTCATATAATTTCCCACAAATCATGATTATGTCCACAGATATTGGTGTATGGGAACTAGATTTTTAAGTAATATCTGTTGGTAGGTCAGAGAGAGGCTTCTACGACCTTCTCTCACACAACCTCCACTCCTTATGTGAAATTCTTTAAGAACTAGTCACCCCCCTCCCCCCCGGCTTCTCACCTCCCTTGACCTACGGTGGTCACATTCTCCATGGCCTCAGTTGACCCCCAGCCTTCACTTCTCAGGACTTTTAACTATTCCAAACCTCTTACTATGTGCACCGTCCTGATCCCCTGATACTGTACACTGATCAGAGTGCAGTGTGTGCCGACAGTAATGACGCGTGTGTGGTGCAGGTGTATGTGTTGGTGCGGGCAGCTCACGGGACACCCTCACGTCGTCACTTGTTCCTGGGGCAGTGCTTGCTGGTAGGACTCCTGCTGTGTTCCCTCTCTGGCCTTCCCATCGCCCTCGCCCCCACGCCGCTCTCCTGTGCCGCCACAAGGTAACTCTCTCTAATAACAATAATATTATTTATTCAGTAAAATTGTCATACAGGTTTACAATTGGATAGTCAGTCATCAGTTCTTGTGTAGCTGTGTCAGTATCCCCCCCCGAGTTGTAAGGTTGGTAGTTTTCACGCCAAATTGGGTTAGATTTCAGTTGTTAGTGGACAAATTTTGGCTGAGGTGGGTTGACGAGTTTCTACTACGCTATCATGCAGAAGGTGGTAGACCTATGGAATGGTCTATCAGCCTAAGCTGTGGAATAACCCTTGACAAAATTATCAAAAACAATAGAGGGATCCTACACAGGCCACTGACCTCGGTTTGGCCACCTCTAGTGGCTGGGGGACGAACTGTTCAGTCTACCGTACAGAACTTTGTGTTGACTCGCTGTAGAACATTATTGTAGTGCAGGGAGATACCATTTTTTATGTGGTTTAGGTCTGTATACTGTATATGTAAAGGCTAAGGCTTATTTATGAATGCAGAACTAATTTATCTTCCATATCTATTGTTTACAGTAAATCAAAGAGATATACGTCAAGTGTAGCATTGTAAAAATAATATTGAACATATCACTTATCTTCAAGGACGAGTTCTTGCGGGTTTGTGTCACGGTTGAGGGCTGTTAGCAACAGTCGCTTCTGATGAAAGATTTAACAGTTGTTTTCTTGATTAAAATATCTGTGAGCTGATAAAGTTGATGTATGTTATATTCTTAGTAGTAGATCTTGACTGTTAGCAGCTTGGGATCACCTCAAGATTAACCCCAACTTATGTCACCACCACATTAACCTAACCTTATGAAGTCAAGTGAGAGCTAACCTTCTTTCTAAACACACTTAGTGTTAAATAGTTTGGGTTACATATCCAGAATAGACTTATTAACCGAAGGATGTATTATTGTATGACTTTTACAATAAACAGCTGTTAGATGCACTTAGAGTGTTTGATCAGTCATAGAGTAACGTTATATGTGGTAACTGCCAGAGAGTGTTGTGACGGCACCGAGTGTGAGCTCCAACAAGACCAGACTTGAACAACACTGGCGCAGGTACATATACATTCAGGAGCCAGTACAGTACACACCCAGTACTTGCCACCAGTAACAGAGACGTGACCGACCGTCCAAGAGGCTAACAGGCCGATCAGTGGTAAAGAGGATAAAGTAAAGTACTGTAGTTATTAAAAATATGGATGTTGGTTGGTTGCTTCAGTGAGGTGAGTGATTTATCACAGAGGTTATAATACAACTGTAAGGTGCTGTTACAAATAAGGTTATGTATAACATGTGAGTTGATGTATTACAACAGGTAGGTGATGTTACAGGTGAAATAATGAACACCGTTCCATAGGCCTACCACCTTCTGGCCCTGTATGTGAAATACTTTTGCACACAGAGGCTGGTAGACCTATGGAACGGTTCTCATCCCGGGCTCTGGAATCAAGACCAGTATTGGGCCATCTTCCCTCGGCATGGCCGCCTCTAGTGGGTGACCATTAGGTCATAAGGTAAACAAGACTATAGTTATGACTGTGTCGGTGTGGTTATGTCAACAGGTTGGTGGTGGGTTTCTCCAGCGCTCTGGTGTTCGCGACACTGTTGGTCAAGTTTGTGTTCCTCATCTCCCTCAACTCGGGGGTGTACCTGCCAGCTCACTACCAGGGCCTCTTGCTCTTCTTCATCGTCCTCGTGCAGGTGAGGAGAGCTCCCGTGAGTGAGCGAGACAGTCGGACCCAGTGAAGCAGAGTTTGCTGTGACTAACCTTTATGAACTAAGTCAGTTTTGTGCGGTATAACTTGAGGTAATATTTATATAAGTGTGGCGTGTACAGACAGTACAATGAAGGAAGCTCCACGTATTGGTTAATACTTTAGACGCAGGCTCGTGGGAGGAGGCCCCTCGAGGGAAATTCTTTTACAGAGTAAAACGTGTTTCATGCCTCATGAATAAAAATATATGGCTGGAGGAATTGCAAATGTCCTACTTCCGCCATGTTGGCTGCCCTCCATCTGTTGACTATAAAATAAGCAAACTAACCCTAACAAACCTACACAATTTAACCTAATATAGAAAAAAACCAAACCTTTAAATCTTAGGAAGTTAAGTCAGGTTGAATTATCTTGCCTACAATGTATTATTTATGTCACTGAGAGACAAGTTTACGGTGTTTAGGTTTGAAACAACGCCCATGCAAAACCGCCGAACTAATAGGCACAGTATAGTATAGTAGTATGAAAACCCACAATTCCTTGCTTTGGGGGGATTAAAGTAATAAGATTATTGATATAAATAATTAAACTGCTGCCAGTATTTCATGTTTACTTAATGGGAGTGTTAATGGCTATGAAATGTGTTTTGTCTGCTGGTGTGCATATAACCAAGTAATGGCGGCGTCTCTGACACTGACACTGAGCACTGTGTTGACCATGAAAATATCGGAAAACCAAAAGTTGGAAACATACAATTTCCCAAGCCATTTCCTCATATTTATGGGGTAAGAAACAAGTTTACCTCTAGAAAATTTCCCTAAAGTGTAAGGTGACCAGAATTTCTATAGCTAAAAGCGGAGCATCTCATGAATAATAATAATAATACAAATATTTGGCAAAAAACGTAAGTGGTACATCTCTTAGGTAATATTGTGAGAAGTACGGTATGTATGACAACACCTCTACCTCCAGAAGTTGTTCGAATTCGTTAGTTTTTCCACCTGCCTAACTTCCTAGCCGGGGGCAGACCCCTCCTCACCTTATTAAACATAAAGTACTTATTTTTATACCTGGTGGGGATCCAAGTTGTGGGTGGGGGAGCATGGGGAGCACAGCGAGCCTATCTAGCTGCATGGGGGGGCGCTATGAGTTCCCCCACCCCCGAAATTTTATTTAATTCTGACCAATATCATGGGCATTTTGAAGCCACTTGCACTTGATGTTAGGAGATATTCTGGTGTCAATAGTAATTACATTTTACCATACAAAATCGCCTGAGTATAATACTGCGTTAAAGAAAAAGAATATTGAAATTTCTGGTGTAAACGGGGGTCTACACCTCCTCGATCAGCCCCTGTGATTTACGACCTTAGAGAAAAACTAAAAAACAACAACATAATAATACAGTACAGTACTTATAATTAAAATAAAAAGTTGTTGCCACTTTCAAAATACTTACTATACTGTAATGCTAAGAACATATGTAGAAAAAATGGACGGCGCGAACAACTGGTGGATTAGAGCTCCTGAACTTGTCTAGCTTATACTACAGACGGGCAAGGGAGGGGGGACTTAATTGGGGTGTATAAACATCTCAAGGGGCACTACTTACTCGAGTGTCCTTACCTGGAGCTGGCGGGTGCTCGCCCCACAAAGTTGAAGAAGCATGTAAGTCCAGGAAACTGTGAGGGCAAACCTTTTCGAAGTGAGAGTTGTGAACTCTTGGAACAATCTACCAGAAAGTGTTGTGACGGCACCAAGTGTGAGCTCTTTCAAGACCAGACTTGACCAACACTGGAGCAGGTTCAGATACATTCAGGAGCCGGTGCATGTCCAGTACATGCCAACAGTGCGTGACAGAGACGTGATCGATCGCCCAAGCGGCTAACTAGTCGATCAGTGGTGAAGAGGATGAAAGTAAAAAGTAATAGTAAACACCAAAAAACACGAATAATGTAAACTTTTTATAGTTTATTTTTTATTTTTATGGTTAGCTAAGTTTTTTTTTAATATTTTACCCCATTTTCCCTCTACTCCAATACTCCAAAGCCCTGCCCACTTTGAACAGCTAATATTGTTGGTTTTTGGGAGGGGGGGGGGGTCATTTGGTTAAAATACTTAAAAATATAAATTTCCGACAACCACTGTGGAAGTTGTTTTAATGAGGCCCACTGCATATGTTCAAGGTTTTGCAAGTAACTCAACCATTGATCAAAGCACTGAACACATGTGTCGTAAAAGTCTATTACTTACTATTTTCTTTACGGCTGACGAGTCAATCAATCCATCTTGTTAAGTTTGTTCACTCGCCCCTTAACGGTGCGGCATAAACACATTAGCTTTCTTTGACTGCTGATATTGCTTCAAATGATATACTCCACCCATTACTTCCACCAGTAGGTAGTCAGCTACCAAACAGGGAGGTACTACCGCCTGGGAAGATATTGGAAGCATAATGTGTTGTCTAATGGTAGACCCTGCTGCCACATGTGACCAAGTCCCAGGTTGATGATCTGACTTTCTTCCTCATTTTCACACAATTGCAGGGTCTCAATTGTTTCTCTTACTATTGACAACACAACATACATATACCTGTGTTGTTTCTCACTCTTGATATATTTTATAATTTTTGTGTTTATTTATGGCTCTTTATTATTATAATTATATTAAGTTATTAATTTTATTATTATTATTATTTTATTATATCCCCCCCAGGCCCTGATGTGGATCATAAAATTACCTGTGCCAGGGTGGGCTAATGCACGTAAAAAAATAATAATACAGAGTAATAATAATTAATTATTATTCCTCTTCACGCTGAAATAACTTGCTTGAGAATGCCAAAAGTTAAGCCAAATTTTTAGCCACCTTCCCGATGTTTGAAAGAACATTAATAAGGATTAGAATTGATTGTGAAGGTTTTGTGCACGAAAATGATCTCAATTAATTATAATTCTCGATAATTTCAAGGTTTACAAACAGCAGAAATTTGCACTATCAGAGGCAGACAGTGAGACTCCACCTAGTAAGATGTACATTCACTGCCAAACACTTGATCAAGAGTGTAACCTATTAAAAAATCAAAACAAAGAAAACAGGTGATGCCTCTTTACATACTGACAGTAATTCTAATAAAGTAGGACATTTATTAAAAGTTCCGTAGAGTCTGACTGCTAGTGTAGGGTGAAGATGCTGCAGTAATTATGAATAACAGGTGTCACATATAAGAGTACAGATAGGGTAGGTGATGTGGACTAATGTTTTGTGTCGACAGGTCAGCATCAACATCCAATGGCAGTGGTCTCAGCCGGCGGGGGTGACGGTGGTGAGGGATCATCACACCGGAGCACTGCACCTCTCCTGCCTCGCCCCCTACAGGCACTTCCTCCTCTCCCTTATCTACGTCATTGTTCTCATCATCGCTGTAGCTGCTCTGGCCATTAAGGTGAGTGGTGCCATCCTGTTAGAGAACCTCTTGTGTGTTTGTATGTGCATTCCTAATGTCTTTGTGACACTTCTTCCCACCTTCATGATGCCTCCTTTCAGTGCCGAGGTATACGGGAGAACTATCGTGAGGCAGCGTACATGGGGGCGGCACTAGGGTTGGTGTTGCCACTGTGGCTGGCCTGGACACTGGCAGGCTTCATCCTGCCCTTGCCACACCAGCCAGCTTGTCTCGGCTTCGGTATTGTCGCCACAGCTACTATTGTCTTTGTTGTCATGTTCATACCCAAGGTGAGTCACTGCCAGCATCCACTGCTACTGACTGGGTGCGTTACCGCTGGTTAGTGGAAGCATTGACTAGTGTTTCTGATGGTTAATGGCACTGTGTCATGGGAATACTGTAGTTCCTATGATATGTAGACAATCATTGTCAGTGTGATATACAGTATAGACCATCAAATTGAAGCCTTAATATTACTTAACCTGTTAAGAAATGTTTTGGGAAAATTACCCCTTCCTCATCAACAGGGGCGGCAGCTGGCAGCAGTAGGTAAAGAGGGGGTATTTCGTGAGGACCGGGACGACCAGGTGTCCACGATCTCTGGTGGGGCTCGCTACTCCCCTTCCTTCTTCCTCTTCAAGCCCATCAAAACTCCGAAGGACCTGCTCACTCCCGCCACCTCTCTGTACAAGACCCGACTACCAGGTACGCCATGTAGTGCAGCTGCTACAGGTTTAAGATCAGTGCAAATGTTGTGAGGTTAAAAAGTTCATTTGTTCCTGCATTACTCCTGTCCTTGAGAAATATAAAAATTGTCTAAGGATTACACATACCGCAGTGTTCTCTTTGGTGGAACAAGATTAAGTCAAATATGAGCTTAATATCAGTAGTGCTGGGTAAAGTATACATACAGTCCTCATGTGCAGGTAAGTTGTCGTAACTACCACATCTGCCAGAATAATATCTAAGTAATTTGAAATGTTCTTGTCAAGATTAAAGCAGAAACTGTTTTTTGTGTCCAATTTGGGGGAAAATAATTAATACTGAACTTAAGTATTAATTTTTTTTTAATTTTTAAGAATCTGTGTCATCAGTTACACAGTAAAGATCTATTGAACTTTTGAAATATATTTTGTTTTTTAGAATTACCACCCAGATGTTTGGCACCACTCAACAGTTAAATCAATGAAAGTATAGTATAGTACTGTACAGTATCTTCAATGTATCTTTTAAAGGACTGCTCCAAGTGTTGGATTCTTGTTCCGCTTTATTCAAGTGATAACGATTTGTTATATTTCAGCTCATGTAATTTGTCTCAGAAACTTCCATGATAAAAGTTTGTCCACGAGTTACACGTACAGTACAGTAATAAGGAGAAAATGCTGTACTGATTGTAGTTATTCTCATTTGTCTTCAAGATAGGCCAAAAATTGTTTGCTAATCCATATGTCCAAAGAAAGACCGTTGTGTCAGGTTGGTGCCGGCCCTCAAACACCTCACTTACCTTGAAAGACAAGAATGTACAGTACTGTATACAGTTGCATTGTCCTTAATATATTATAAGAGATGAATACTTAGAAGTTGTACAGAACAGTATAAGAAAATCTGTTTTTAGGAGCCATTTGTGTTCGTTTCTGTGTTATAACACCTTTCAAGTCAGGAAAGCCTATGTTAGTGTTTCAGGAATTTGTTCTTTTATAAATCAGAAAAATATTTAAGCAGTTACAGTACAGTGCCCACATTGTAAATAATTAATAACCACGTAGACCTGAGAGAGGCTACTCAGCACATGCACCTTTCACAACTAATTAGTGGCCTTATAGATTTGCACATTCACATCTGTGTTACCCTTTACTTCACCGCCACTCACTCTGGTTCTGCCACATATGTTTCAGATCACTACAGGTATGGTGGGGCCCTTCCTCCCCTCCCACACTCCCAGCCCCCACCACCTGCACCATATTATTGGCCTGCACTCCACTATTATCATCACTACTATCAAGGTATTCTTCCACTCTCCTTCACTCTCTGCTGACATCACTTCTACTGATTTGACTTGCTGACATTTGCTGACTTTACCACCACTGCTGTTGACACTTTTGAAGACTACATGGTGTGTGTTAACCCCTTTCTTCTCCAGGTGGTGACATTACTGTACCTTGAGACACTATCTACTACATTTGTGACATAATTACTACTGACACTCCTATGTACTGTTTTAGAGGACTGAAATTAGTTATTCCATAAAGATAAGTTGGACTCAGTACTGGAATGTTGTGTGTCAAGTTAAAGTAACACTTGAAAACAACAAAACTCAAACACTACACCTACATTTAATCTTCATGTGGTGTTGAGTGTTAAGATTGATTTAGATGCTGCCTGTGATTTTGAAAGACCTGGTTGTGTGTGTTGCTAAAGTCCATCTTGAAGTGTAAGGTACATTTGGCCTAGGAAATGCAAGACTTGTAAGTACAGGTATTTAAATTCTGGCAATTGCCCATCTGTGCCCAGCCATATGCCCACCTGTTGACATTTTTCTTTCAAATTGTTATTTTAAGTTTTCATGTGTTCTGTAATGCATTTAAATTTGATTTTGAAAGTGTCAGCGATCTTTTACTTTTTAATCTGATTTCCTTTTATCAATGCTGTAGTTTTGTTTTTATGATTTTTCTAATGCTATGCTACAGAAGAAAGATTTTGCCAACAGAGAGTTGTCTTATGACAATTGGGGAACTGAAGCACTTTGATTTTTTATAATGAGACACAGCAAATGCTCTATGATGTGGTGTGTAGTGATAAGATTAAACAGGGTTACTCTACAACAGGTGTTTGGGTGTTGCAGGTATGAGTCGCGCAGATGACGGCGTCTACACCAGCATAGACCCGCCTGCACCACACTACGCCCTTTCCTCCAACCCAAACTTCTACCTGTTCCGATCCCATACCCACGCTGGCATGATGTACTAAGGTGTATGGTCATACCTGAGGTGAGTATTACAAGCCAGAGGTGTGACTGTAGTCTTCATGGCCCCAACACTAACAACTCTTCTCTGGGTATAAGATTGGTACAGTAGTAATAGTATGTGCATCATTGTTAGCGATGGTCCTCATTATCCAGGTGCTGTAGTTAACCATTTTATCATTTGTGTTGTGGGTAGTTTACATTACCATCAGCAGCCCTCACTAACACTCACTCCCAGATTGTGGAAGTACATGTAGTTCCTTATCACCACCAGTGTTGTCCCTGCCACCACCAGTGTTGTCCCTGCCACCACCAGTGTTGTCCCTGCCACTGCCTGTGTTGTTGAAGGTCTCATTTGTCTAAAGGATACATGTGACATTGATATAATAATTTCTATAGGGGTCACTTTCTCTACAGTGTTTACCCAAGCAACCAATCAGTGGCAAAGAGGATAAAGTAAACAGTGTTGGTGGTAGTGATCAGGATATATTACACAAATGTTCTGGTGTAGCTGTCAGTGTTATTCATTCTGATGTGAGACAACTTGTTCCATAGGTAAGCACAAACATACATGGGAAAAGAAATAAGTTACTTGAAAACTTTTACAAATATACTGGTGACAGGAAGAGGATACAGTAATGAGATAGAGAAATGAACTCAGCAACCTAAACCATTAAACAATTCTTATAAGGAGTAGAAGTTGTTATAAAAGAGTAGATGGTTATATTGTGACTAATGGTTGGGACAGATAAAGAATAAAAAATTAGTTTATGGTGTGTGATGCTGTAAGAGTTTGTCAGCTGCACTTATGTCCCAACAACAAAAACATGTTCATTGCTTTTAAGTATACAGTATTTAAATGATCAGGCTGTTTTATACTGTACAGGTAGTTCTGCTATAACGCGATAATTGTGTTCTTGTAAAATATCGTGTTATAGAAAATCGCGTAATAGAAATAACGGCTTATGGAGAAAATAGGGTTAGGTGCAGATTACTCGAAATCGAAAAAATTTAGTAGTTAGCCTAACACAAAGGATAGCACAGTCTAAATAAATGTTACATTCATATCTAATAATGAAATCATACAGTAAATGTGACACTTTACTTGATGGGGGAGAAGGGTGATTTTGAGGTTGATAACATCGAGCTTCTCTTCAAGTGTTATATCCTTTCTTTTACGATCATCACCGGGAATTCTATCACCAGAACGCTTCTTGGAGATATTCTTCTTTACCATATTCACAGTTAATACCACAAAATTGGAGAAATAGTAAGCAAAAATCGCGTTATAGCAAACAAGCGTTCGCATTATACAAATATCGTTCCTAATTCATAAATCGCGTTAGAGCAAATTCGCGTTATCAAAACACGCGTTATAGCAGAACTCACTGTACTGTATTTCCTGAGTGAAGAAATGTTACTTATGTTTATTATGTGTGATTTATTAGAGTACAGTAAGATCTTGTATTTTGCGAGTAATATAGACTGGAAAAATTGCGCCAAATTCAAATTCGCCAAATGTAAATACCGGGTGCAGAAACTAGTGGGAAAAATAACAATATAGACTGGTGTGGGGTATGAGATGTTTGGTTCACACTCAGGATGGGTTGGAGAAAGGAAACTCACAATGTGCTCTCTATATACTGTACATGTTGTATTGGATGTACAATGCAGCTTGGTGCTGGGAAGGCAGCATGGTTACAAGCGTGATGTAGAGAGAGCTGGTTGGTGAGGACGCTCAGAGAAGGACAGCTTGTGGGTCGCCATGCTCGCCGGCGGGAGAGAGGACCGCCAGGCAGGCGGAGGAGGAGCGAGGGCCGCCGGGCAGCGGCGGAGGAGGATGAGGTGTTGCTGGCTGGTTGGTGTAGGTAGAAAGAGGCAGGTCACCACGAGGTCAGGTCTTAAATAGCGGGAGTAGGCGTGGCTTAGTAGTTGACCCCCGCTCCGTGATGTATGGCGGCGCTGGTTGACCCAGACCACGAGGCATACACTGGGGAATTGGTGGGGTCGGCTACTCAGCGACAAACAGCGTTTGTAGGGGAGAAATCCACTACACTGGCCACTCTACATCAACCATTTATAACCTCCAAATGATACAAATTCTGCCTTTATTGACCTGATTGTGCTTTCCAGACACTAGTTTTTAGGCCTTCCTCAAGTAACTTAATCTCGCGCTGCTTATCCTGCATCAAGTACTTGGCAAACTTAACTCCCTTATGATAGTCCCGCTTCTCCTTTTCTTTATTTGGCCGCCCAGGTGTGTGTGTCCCACCCCCACCAGTAGGACCCCCAGTAGAGGTAGAGGCCATTATCTTGACTTGACAGGTGGTGGTGTGGGGTAAGTTATTTTGGCTTCACACTCAGGATGGGATGGAGAAAGGAAACTCACAATGTGCTCTCTATATACATGTTGTGTTGGATGTACAATGCAGCTTGGTGCTGGGAAGTGGCAGCGTGGTTACAAGCGTGATGTAGAGAGAGCTGGTTGGTGAGGATGCTCAGAGGAGGACAGCTTGTGGGTCGCCATGCTCGCCGGCGGGAGCGAGGGCCGGCAGGCAGGCGGAGGAGGAGGTGTTGCTTGCTGGTTGGTGTAGGTAGAAAGAGAGAGGTAGGTCACCACGAGGTCAGGTCTTATATAACGGAGGTAGGCGTGGCTTAATAGTTGACCTCCGTCATGTAAGGCGGCGCTGGTTGACCTAGACCACGAGGCATACACTGGGGAATTCGCGGGGTTGGCTACTCAGCGACAAACAGCGTTTGTAGGGGAGAAATCCACTACAGTGGCACCACCCAAAAAAGCACAGTAGCAGCCTGGGCGGTCGCTAGGATGGCGCAGGCTACAACACGATAGTTGCGTTCTTGTAAACCTCTTTTACGTTAACCTCTGGCAATTCGATCACCAGAACGGTTCTTGGAAACATTCTTCTCACCTTATTCATCGCTAACACAACAAAATTGGAGAAAGCAGCAAAAATCACGGAGTAATTGACAGAAACCGCATGATTCAACTGATCACGAGATGTAAACAGAGAGCGCTGGTGTAAACTGTTATTAGTCCTCACTGTGAAACATTCTTTTTACATATTCTTTTCATACAGTATTTATGGGTAACAGCTATTTTTGCAAAAAAAGAACGAAATTTACACCTCTCAAAAACACTTCACAAACAAAAGACACGAATCAGTTGAACATGTGATCTTGAACGTGAACTGTAAACATTGCTTAACCCCGCGCCGCGCTTAAAACGTTGAGAATGGAATAAAAGCATTGAGGATGGAATCGCTCTATAGCCAACATTCATATGCAAAAGTTCGCATTTTAAAAACAGCGTTTCCCTATTCATCAATCGCGTTACAACCAATTCGCGGTGACAAAACAGGCGTTGTAGCAGAAATGACTGTAACTGGTATGAGAGCTGTGATGTCATTCAAGGCGGTGGCCAGCATTCAGCTGGCTGGATCTCGCAAAATTCACGATATTTTATGCCAAATATAAGACTTGGTTACATTAGGTAATGCTCGCAAAATTAAAAAACGCGAAATAAAATCGCACGAAATATGAGATCTTACTGTAAAATATGTAGCCTACCAGATGTGAGAAATTTGAGTGACAATGCAGTTTTATACTTAAAAGTATAAATTTTATATGGTACACTACTCCAGATCTGAGGTACCTGTGCTTCCTGTAAAGGTGCTTTACAAAGTAAAATGTGTGATGTACAGTCATGGTCAAAAGTTCTGTCCCTTCTAAGAATCCCGAGATTCAGACTTGTGAATCTGAAGCAGCAAATCATCAGTGGCTGCTGCTCCAGGTTCACGGGTCTGAATTTTGTGGTTTGTGGGGCAGCAGGAGAAGCGACAGGACTTTTGACTGTGACTGCACATAGAATTTCCAAGACAAGAATCGAGGTTCACAGAAATTTATGGTGGTACTGTAGTACTGTACTGTGTGTGAGATTTACACTATAGTTTGCCTCACATGTAAGTTCATTTCATGATAAAATTTCATAAATGATAAATTCAAGTCATGGATTTACTTGTATTATTATTAGACAGACTTCAATTTGGAGTTCAATAAATTTTTGTAAGAATTATTAAGATTTCCTCAGGTTTAGAAAGTTGAGTTATGTAATAATTTAACTCTTGCTTGAACTCGGTGTCGTTTTGTGCTTCTGTACAATATAAGACACTATAAACTACAGGTGTATTACAAACTACAGTACAGTACTGTATTTTAAACTGTGTAGTATTTATATTTCAAAATAAAAAACCCACCTTATGATATTACACTCTAAATTGAAGACAGTTTAAATTCTAATACTAAATTGAGAGATCCTCATTGACTCTGTGCGTAGTCAGTTATGCTGAGACAGTACTAGATATTCAATAGTCTGGTCTGCTCAATGTACTGTCTAGAAAATATTGATGCTACACAGTACTGTACTCTGTTCACGGGAGCTTTGTAACCAGAGTCTAGAGCAGATTTTATCAATGAAGTTTATTGGTTGATGGAATGAAGTATGTTGGTTAATCTACAACTCTTCATAATTTAATTTATTTTCTTTATACTATTCAGTAATTGCAAGTACTGTACTTGTACTGTAATATTAACACTTAAGTGTTGCTCTAGAATAATATCCAAAGCTGGGAAGTAAAGATTAGCACGTGAAACAGTGATAATGTAGATATCTTAAAGTGAAAAAATTAAAAAAGTTTTAGATTATCATCAATGCCCAACTGTACTGTGCTGTATACCTTTAGGGAATTAAAGAGAAGTCATGCTATTTCCCCCATCGATCCTCATTGGCTGTGCCGAGCCATCCATGGCAGCCCCGAGTGCCTAAATCTTGATCTCAAGTTTCTCATTTGTATTTTTTAAATTGAGTACAATAGACAATGTACCAATAGAATAAATAGTAAGGTGAAATGAGCTAATTAGGAATAATATTTTGTAGGCAGCACATGCCCTTTAGGATCAAAATGGTGCCAAAAAGACGTGGGTCAGTCATTTATGATGAGTGTTATCAATAACAGCGTACTGTAAACATATTTTTGGGTGTCGGATTAAGCTAGAGCGCTGTTTGCTGAATTCCTGGAGAAGAACAAAGTCCACTTCACCAATTTATTTCATAATGAAATATTCATTGGTATGGATTTTCGAAGTACAGTACTGTACTGGATAATGAGACAAAACTGATGTTTGTAAATTCATTAGAAGCGGAGTTATAAAAAAAGCATCCCTCTTGCTAACCAGGATGATATTTATGGTGCCAATATTTGTGCTAGCTACTGCCACAGCTGCCCATTCTCCCCTTGGACAGACAATGGCCCAGTCCACCACTGCTTCTAGTTAGTGATTTATCACCAAGTTTTATTGTTCTTGACATGCTAATGTAGGAATTTAATCTGTTTCTACTAGGTCCTTACTTGGAGCTGGCGGACGCTCGCCCCACAAGGGGTCACAGCTCAAGATTGAAGAAGCCGCAAGTCCGGAAAACCGTGAGGGCAAACTTTTTCGGAGTGAGGGTTGTAAACTCTTGGAACAATCTACCAGAGAGTGTTGTGACGGCACCGAGTGTGAGCTCTTTCAAGAGAAGACTTGACCAACACTGGAGCGGGTTCAGGTACATTCAGGAGCCGGTGCATGCCCAGTACTTGCCAACAGTGCGTGACAGAGACGTGACCGATCGCCCGGGCGGCTAGCGAGCCGACCTCTTGGTGAAGAATATAAAGGAAAAGAGACGTGACCGATCGCCCAAGCGGCTAACAAGTCGATCAGTGGTGAAGAGGATAAAAGTAAAGTAAAAGTAAAGTAATGTGTATGTAATTCGTTATTAGTACAGGTAGTGGCTTTTTCTTAACAAAAGATCAGGAACATGAACTGTTTCTCTTTTGACAATA